GCGTTGAGCCATGTTGCGTTGAGATGAGAGAGGTGGGCAAAGTTGGTGGGGTGCGTCACTCGCTTGTACGCGTCACTCGCTTGTAAACTACGTTAAACTTTTCTCTTATCTTAGCCTTTAAGAGGGGCTGCACTGTGGAGGTATACAAGAGGTTGTATTCCATAAAGAGCTATCTAATTCACTTACGTAATGTTTATTTACTCTTCGGAGAAAGGTTATGCTGAAGTATCTGAGCGTGTTGTTTGAGCGCTGCTTGGGCGGTGAGCAGAATCCGGGTACTCTGGGCGACGGTAAGCGTTATCTGACATGCAGCCTCTAAACAGCGAATCAAAGGCTGAATAGCGGTGCATCCCTCCGCAATAAACTTCCTAGAGTGTCAGAACTAGCCAATTAGCTCGCTTAAATCGCAGACTCTCTATAAACTAATTTATCAGTTCCGGCACTTCCGGGATATCTATAATGTCCGTTGCGGAGAGATGCACGTTGTATATATAGCCTGCTCCTTTGCTAAACCAAGCGATACTTCCTATTATCACATCTTCCTTAATATCAATAAACAATACAACTATAACAAGTAAGCTACATATCTCTACTATTTCTAGACCATTAAGCTAATAAACCTTCAAGGTTTACTAAGCAACGATGCGTTTCCTCTTCGGAATCTTGATGCTATCCATAGGTAGTGCATTGGCAGATTCTACAGGCTCTAATTTACTACTTATTAGAGGTATTGTTATCTACTTTTAACTCTAAATATAGATATAACATTCTTCTAAACTCGTTTCTAGACCCGCAGACTGCTACTGGTTGTCGAGGGTGCTACCACAATTGTAATACAGACTATCCCCGTGGCTCTCAACGTAATGATTGTTATAGCGGGTGCAAAACTCTATTCAGTGATTGTTAGTAAGATTGGCAATAGTTAGACACGCCTTAATTAAAACCCTACCTATATCGATTGAAGTCTCTAAAATTACATTAAGCAATAACGTGGTTCACAAGCGAGTCGGCCACTTTGCTCCGACGCGTTAACGTCAA